TCATTCTTCACGGGCAGGTCAAATTTTCATATGTCAAGGTGAGTGCACTGGTTAAGAATGATGCTTATGTTATGGAACATTATTTTATGCTTACTATGAAAGAGTAAAGGCAAACATTGTAGATGTTAGTTATCCCCAGAAAGCTTTTTTATAGTCATGAGAAGTTAAGCACGCAATCTAATTCAATAGCTACTAGAATCACCTTTTGCTTGAAATAATTGTTTTCTGCATGACTTTATCAGCTTGTATATCCTTGTAGAGGAGTTTTGAACCATTCTTCAACAATATTCCTTCAGGTTCCACCGAAGCATCTATTCGAGGTCTGGACTGGACTGGGTCATTGCAACACCTAGATTTTTTTTTTGGCCATTCTGCTGCATCATTGACCTGCTGCATGACCTAATTTGCTTTAGCTTATGGACAGATGGCCTCATGCTTCACTGTAGCATACTTTGGTATAAAGAGTCCATGGTCAACTCTATGACTAGAAGATGTCCAGGTCTTGTGCCTGCAAAACCAGCCCCAGTCATCATCTCTACACTAATGTGCTTGACAGTTGGTCTGAGGTGTTTGTGCTGATATGCTGTGATGGGTTTGTGATGGCCAGACATCTCCACTTTGATTCTTGTCTTTCCAAATGATATTATTCCAGAAGTCTCGTGGTTTGTTTTGATAAAACGTTGGACACCTTAGCTATGCTGCCATAATCTTTTTAGAAAGAAGATGCTTTCTCCTGACAAGCCATACTTCTTCAGTACGTTTCTAATTATACTGTAATGAACCATTTAATATGCTAACTGAGGCAGTTTTTGCAGTTGCTCTGACTTTTAGGGTAAAATTGCTGGGAAGACTGTTGCATTGTGTTGACACGTACCTGAATGCTCCAGACCAGCAAACTGCCAAAATCTTTGCTTTTATAGAGGTAGTCACACTCGCTGATGATCCAAAAAATGAAGTGCATTAGATTGGCAGTGCCTGGCTGCTACTTACCCTCTTAATTGCTATGGAAGCAGTAAGGGTGTACTTAGCTTTGCACAGGACTGCAGAAACCCCTGAGACCCCCCTTTTCACGCCAATGTGGATGCTACAACGTGTATCATATAATCTGAAGGCTGACTTTGCCCGAGTTTATAACACCAACTTTCCGTTTTACTACATCTAAAGTCATGATGTGTCTGAATTGCACAGTTTAAATGTTAGCTCCAGAGACTTTGCTTTTGTTATGGAAGTGGAGTTGCTTTACATTTATTTTAGAGCAGCATATCTTTACATTCCTGGCATGTTTTCTAATGTGAAGAACGATTATGTGCAAATTCATGAACTTACTGAAGTTATACACTTCAACTTAATTGTATTGAGGGAGAGAAAAAGCACTAGCCTTGGTATTCTTCCCAGATAACTCTGATCTTTCAAGCATCATTTGAATCTGTGATCCCCAGCCAGTAGATTCCTTGAAAGTTACCAAGGGATTGAGCAATCTGGATTGCCTTTGTGCAACGGGGAGAGTGAGAGACGTGAAAATGATTTCAAAGAGTCCAGGATGAATCATGCTCCCACTGCAGCTGCCATTTATTAGCACATTTTCCACCATGGTTTTTACAGCTACCTAGCATACATAGGTTCATAGAGTTTGCTAGAGGCTTGCTTTGCAGGGGGGTTATTTTGTAAAATGCTTCATTAAAAGTGTTGATAAATGAACGTCATACTAACTTGTGTGGTTGTCATAATTAGTCATGACATTAAATCTTAATAAAAAACTAAAAGCGAGGGACACCTCATTTATCAGCTGTTACCTCTATAATGAAGATGAAGATTAATTTGAAAAAAGTGTGATACGCTCCCACTACTGGTTTGATATGAAAAATGTCCTTAACTCATTAAAGTACTTGTACCAGCCAACGAATTTACACAGACTTTTTCAGGGTTAATTCTTTGAATGTCAAGGAATGGCAACGCAGTAAACATAATATCCAAAAACTCAAACACAGATTATCACTTTCTTGTTTTGATAACAAGAAACCCTCTAATCCCTTTATTAACTTGCTCTTTTTTCCAGCTTGACATGTGCTCATTCAAAAGTCCCTGAGTTGTGCTTGCTATGCTGCAGATTTTTTTTAAACCAATTCTTGCCTGTCAAGGATGATGAAATGGAAACCCATAAGAAATTGACAGCGTGTACCGCTCAAGGACGAACATATCTGAAGATGACTTGTTTCCTGATTTGGACAAGGGGGCTAAGAGAGTAGATGTAATCCTTAAAGACT